CTTCCGAGCTCCTTCGGGTCAGAGTAAACAAAATCTCTCCTTAACCATGGAGCAGAAAATGAGTAGAGTTGAAACTGTTAGCTGCAGAGAATGAGCCAACATCTTCAGGCTTAGCAAAGCCGACACAAGTGTTCACATTCTGCTCAGACTTACTGGGGTTTTCCACTCCACTGTACTACTCCAGCATCTGCCAGTAAAAAGGTGGTGTCTGAGTTTGTAAACATTGTAGGGAGATGGAAGCCACGCATAATGTCAAGAGAAAAAGCAGATTTTCTCAGCTCTAATCACTTACAACCTGGTGAAAACCTGCAGTGACATGAAGGCACGCCTGGCAATTACAGGAAGTACAATTGCATTGGCTGCTACATCAAGTTCTTGAAAGAACAAAAGTGCTTTCGGTGTCGATGATGGTAGTTCATCGTTCATCCCTCCGGAGCGTTAATCCGAGATAATAAAGAGTAGTGTTTGTAGATGTATCTTTTGTGGCTGTCTTTTCTGTGGAAGAGGCAGGGTACTCTGCTGAAATCCCCATCTCCTTTTGTGTGTCTGCAGTCACATCAACCAGAAAACTCAGTTTGAAAACCCTGTATTGGAAGCCAAAAGGAAAAAACAGCTTGGACAGACTGATGCTGGCCCGTCAAAATCAGGTATCACCGAATATTGTGTTCTTTGTCACTCAGGTCTTTGTCTGCAGGTACGCAGCATGAGTAACCGATTTTGGAGTTCACCAAGGCATTGGCCTTGTCTTTTTGCTGGCCATGGTGGTGTTGCCCTCCCAGATCAGTAGGGGTTTTTGAATGTGTTTTTTTTAATGTTAAAATTGAACTGAGACCCTAAGACTGCTTTAAAATCACGTTGATCATTCTAAAGCTGGCTGTCACAAGCAGCTTTTGAAGATGTGGAGGGTTAGAAGTGCCAGCTGGAAGATGCAGGTAAAACCACACCTTGAATTTTTATGCTTTTGATCTACTTCAAGCTTCATATTCAAGGGTTGGAGTGCAAAAACGGGAATTAGCGGTGGGAGCTTTACTTCCAGCTCTCTTGTAACTTGTACTACCATCTTGAAAAAACTCTTTAACTCTCCCATTTGCTTAACTCAGCTGTGAACTGGGTGTCACAGTGTCTTGTTTGCTTTGCTCCATCACAGTGCTGCAGAGGTTAACCAATGTTAACCAAACAAATCATTAACCTTTATGATACCTTAAAAAAAAAAAAAACCCAAACCCCACAAACATATCAAAACTAACCCTGGCTTCCTACCTTCATGTCTCTCTCCCCCATAATTCAAAAGGGCCAGAGAAGTCTGTCTTCACTAGAGATCCGTCCCAACTCACAGGGGCACTTATACGGACATCGCTGAAAAAGAGTACAATGGGATTTGGCTTTACAATCATTGGAGGGGACAGACCTGATGAGTTTCTCCAGGTGAAGAATGTGTTAAAGGATGGACCTGCTGCACAAGATGGGAGAATTGCACCAGGTAAAGCAGTATTTCTCTCAACTCCCATTTACCGTGGTGCTTTTCCACAGCGCGGCTTCTGAGGCACGGGAGGTTGGGTGACTCCGTCCTCCGACGCTGAATATGAGCACCTCACTAAGTGAAACAGTTCGCAGATTTGTGAAAGATCTGTGCAGAGCAGCGGCTCAAAAGGAAAGGCAGCAACGTTCTAGCTACAAATCTATTCGAGGACACTTCTGAAGATTTCAGTAGTTCTGCTTTAGCCAAAACTTTTGGCTTCGTCGTTGTTTACAGGATGGTTTTGTTGTTTCCTCCCTATACGTGAAGTAAAAACCAGTGTGCTTGAATCCTGGTCTGTGTTGTGCCTTGTTGCTGCCAAAATGTACAAACTGGGCAAATGAGGAAACAAGAAGGATGGGGGCACCTGCGGTCCATGAAGAATTGCACTTTGTCGTGGTTATTGTACGCTTAAGTAAGCTACCTATGAGCTTACTGTAACCTGCAGTTTGCACACTGGAAAAGAAAAAACGCTTCTTTACCCATCACATACACTCTGGTACTCTTCAGAGAAGAGGAGTAAGGAGAGTTCACGCTTTTGATGATTTAACACTGGTGACTTATGAAGTGAAGCAGTTTTGTCTTTTGTTGCTGACCCGTGGTTTGAACGTGTTTGTATGCGGTTCATTTTCCTCTTTGTAAAAATGAAGGCAGCGTTGTGCTGTGGTGCCACACGTGTTCAATGGGAAGATGCACGTCTGTTCCGGTGGTGGTTCAAGTAATAGGGGAGTTACTGTTCTGCTGGCGCCCGGGAGGTGATAGCAGTGTTTGCTTGCTGGGAATACTGCTCTGCATGTGCAAAGTTTCGTGATCAAAATGATGCAAATTCTGAAACAAGGTTTCAGGACCTGAAGCCTACTTCCACTTAATTTTAAAAATACGTGCTTAGCCACGTGTGGCAAGAGTGTAGGAGCACGGAATATGTGTGGGCGCAATCCTAGCTTAAGTTCAGCCAGTCCTAAAATAAACATAGGACACCCCATCCCCCCCCAAAATCCGATTTGTTCTGGATTGAGTTTAGGATGCTGTACCATATGAATTAAAGTAGAAGACATCTGCTTGCAGTAGTACACTTGCACTGCTTCATCTCCTGTGGCTGTTCTGTATCATTTTTTAAATCTACTGCAGATTAAACTTCATATATTTAGCACACTGTGTTCTGAGATGAAATAGAGGAAATGCAAAGAGGAAATCCTCCATGCTTTTTGGCAACAGGTAGCCAAGAGGTAGTAGCCCAGCAACCACTTGTTACGAGTTTTGAAGACTGCACAGTGATTTCCCCCAGTTGGGCTTTTGCTCTGGGCCTCAGGACACAGGACAGGTGTGGGTGGTTTCATGTCTGGTTTTGACGCTGTTGAACTTTCTTTTGTAACAGGTGATGTCATTGTAGACATAAATGGAAGTTGTGTCCTTGGCCATACCCATGCAGATGTTGTCCAGATGTTTCAACTTGTTCCTGTCAATCAGTATGTGAACATGACTTTGTGTCGTGGTTATCCTCTTCCTGACGACAACGAAGACCCTGTGGTAGATATAGTGGCAGCTACACCTATTATCAACGGACTGCCTGTGGCCAAAGGAGATGCCTGTGTGACCAGCCAAGATTTAGTAGCAGGAGCAGTTGTGTTGGACCAGAATGGGAAAATGGGCCCTATGTTGGTCAATGGTCGTCTGAACGGCCCTTGCACAGATACAGCTGAACAGAGGATCTCTCTTGCGTCTTCAGGAGGCTCTCAGCCAGAGCTGGTCACCATTCCTCTAGTCAAAGGTCCTAAGGGCTTTGGGTTTGCCATTGCAGACAGTCCAACAGGACAGAAGGTGAAAATGATTTTAGACAGCCAATGGTGCCAAGGCCTTCAGAAAGGGGACGTCATCAAGGAGATTTGCCATCAGAACGTACAGAGTTTGACCCATCTGCAAGTGGTGGAGGTACTGAAGCAGTTTCCAGTAGGAGCAGAGGTGCCGCTGCTTATCTTAAGAGGAGGTACGTATGTAAATTTACAGTTGTCGTATGTGGTTATGTGCTTTATAAAAGTCCCTTTTCAGTGTGACACCTAAATTGTGTCCAGTCTTGATGGTTACATAGCAGCTTATTATGCCTCTGAGCTGCTATGTTCTAAGTTTAATGTATACCCTGAGTATTTGGGGTGAGAGCATGTTTTTTCCAAAATGTTATTACGATATGTTTATGCGCTGGCTCTTCCAAGTGTCTGGGGAGCGCTAAAGCAAAAACATGGTCTCTAGCATAATACAGAGTGTACGATGGACAGAGTTTTCTGAGGCTCTCTAAATGCATTCCAGTAGCTGTAATGGACAGGCGATTACAGGAGATGGGAAGAAGCATCAGCAGTGAGGCGGAGCTAATCACTGGAAATACCAGAAAAATTCTCATTTTGGCATTTGCATATTTATACCTCTTCATTGACTGTCAGTCACAGACCAGAATGTGTCTTCTCCCCAAAAGCTGACTAGCAGATCCTGTGTGTTTGCCAGAAGGAGCTGCATGAATTATGAAGCAACGCATGGCTGCTCAGTGTCCCCTTAAGCTTCTGTAGTAGCCCTGAGAGTGTCACTTTAGTCATGACCACTTGCAAAAATCTCCATGTCTCTTTCTGTATAAATGCTACTGTTCCTTAACCATCTAAGGTAATAATTAGATTTGTTCAGTTGCAAGTGAAATTCCTCTAGACAAATTCACAAAGCCTCTGTGTCCAATGAGCTGATGTGTGATTTGGTTGACCAGTGTCTCGCACAAAGAGAAGTCCATGTTTTTCATTGCCATACAGCTGGCAATTCTAATTTGAGACTTCTCTGAAGTGATGCTTTTGGTCAACTGAATGTTCACATTCCATTTAAAAGAAGAGTGAACAAGCAGGTTTTATTTTCAGCCCAGGAGGAGCCGATGGTATTGCCTTAATGCTGTTTAAACTTCTGGTGACCTAGTACTGAAATTGCTTTCTGCATTGTATTTTCTTCAGGTCCACCCTCACCTACTAAAACTGCCAAAGGGGTGAGTATTAGCAATGTATTTAAATGTGTTTCTGATGGAGAATATTCAGGGGGGATGGTTGCAAAACAGACTCATAAATATGGTATACTCAACACAAAAATGCCTTTGAGTTTTTGCGTTGTTTAGTGGACATGATGGCTGTCTCTTCTTCTGCTGAAGAGTCAAGAATGCAGCACAGATCTCGTGTGACAGTGGGTGTAGTATTGTTGATTTGTCATGATTTTAGATATGATATTGCCATTTAAGTTAAATCCTTATTTCCTTTTTTTGCACCGTGAAATTGCTGAAATTGCTGCCTGCGTTCACACTTTGACCTGCATTTGTAACCTCATCTCCTCTGGGTTTCAGTGCCTGTGATATTCTGCAGGATGATTTAGCAGAACCTCATCTGCTTAGCTGCCACTAAGACATTGTCTCAAGTACCTGCTGGCAGAACACCCATTGCAAGGGAAACGCAATACTGTACCTATTTTTTTTCGTTGCTAATTACCTGTATTAGAGTGAAATGGGATTTCTAAAGGAAGTTTACAGTACTTCAGTAATTCTCAGTCCTTGCACAGAATCAATGGACTGGTTAGTACTCGCTTCTTACAACGCTTATTGTCTTTGAATCCGTATTTTCAGGAAGTCTCTAGGTAGTGGTGCGTTTCTCGTCTGATACCCACTATTCTTGGAAGTTCGATCTGTTGGGGTATCTTTAATGTATATTAGCTCAGAAAAGAATACTTGGGCTTAATAAAATATCCTCTGGTTGGATAATGCTGATAGTAATGCATATTTTTGCCATGAGCACTTCTTTTATCAGTTAGGCTGGTTGGCAAACCGAGCTGTTTCTTTAAAAATGTTTCTTGTATGGAACAATCAATCTCATTTTAGGAAAACCCCATGACCAGGATGTGGATGTAGCTTCTTTTTGTACCTCTGTCCTGCTGTTGTTTGGGTATTGAAGCAATATCCCAGCAGCGGGGTAATGTGAGCACACAAGTCCAGTGCGCGTGAAACAGGCTGCACTCAACAAGACTTGGGGATTTGGTGCCTTGCAATCGTACAGCTGCCCACACGAAATAAATCAGCGCGTAAATCTCTCTGGTTTGAGGGCACCAGCCTTGCCAGTGCGCTCTGTGCAGGCGTGCTAAAAATACTACGGACGCGGGGACCGGTGTTCTAGCACACGTGCAGCAGCAGCTTCCCACGGAGCGCTCAATGTTCAGTGGCATTAAGCAGCATGGCAAAATAATTCAGTTAAAAAGGGCAAGTTCTTGTGTTTATAAACATGTAAGAAGTGTCAAACTGCTAAATGGCCTGGGGGGGTGTTCTTCCACTCCTCGTAAAAGGGCATATCTAAGCCTATTCTCCTTGTGCTTTTGTTTAACATGCACAGACGCATGCAGGCTACCATGTTCCAGTTTTCCAGGTTGGGTTTCAGCCCAGAATAAGTATTTGGAGTTACTTTAGTGCATAATCAATTGGAAATTAGAGTGGAAGGCCACAAGGATGCTTGGTGTCCTTTCTTCGTGAAATACTAATGGGGTGTTGCAGCTCTCAGATCATAAAGGGAAGTGCAAATACTGAATTGCTAACGCCGCACGCTGCCCAAGCGTATTCCTCCTGTCCAGGATTTATAATGCCGTTGGGGTACCTGCAGCAAACACCGTGGGGGGGGTTACACCTCAAGTGCTCTTGTTGGGGCACAGTTTGGCAGGGGGCAGGAGGCAGTGCCCTCAGAGCAGCTCATGCCCGTGGTGGTGGACCGCGGTCCAGATCCCAGCAGGCGCCTGCTGAGGAATTGGTGTTTTCTCTGAACGTGACCAGTCCTGTACGCCCTGCTTCGCCCCTGGGTGTCGAACACGGTGGGGAACTGTGTTGAAAGCCTTGGAGAAGTTCAGGTCGTCCACTCACCCCATGTCAACTGACCAGGTCGCTTTGTCATAGAAGACCACCAGATTTGTCAAGCACGATCTGCCCTTAGTGAAGCCATGCTGGCTTCATTTGACTTGCGATGGCTCCCAGGAGGATTCGTTCCATAACTTCCGCAGGGATTGAAGTAAGACTGATGGGCCTATAGTTACCCAGATCCTCCCTTGAGCCCAGTCTTCAGTAGAAATCGGTGGCCTGTGAGGAAGACTTCAGTAGTCCAATCGGACACATATATAGGAAAAGCTACATTGGGTTGTAATATTATTCCCCTATTCCCTTGCTTTGCCCTGCATTTCACCTCTGCACGATGTTTATTGGCTTTGCATGCAAGCATACACAAACTCAGTTATACATTTGATTTCATATGGATTTTGTGGGGTGCCCTGTGTTTCAGAAGGACAAGCAGGACAGTTCAGGTAGTTTGGAAGCTGTCGGCGATCCCATCCCGCAGCCGATGCCATTTCCACCTACTGCTGTACGACCAGGCTCTCCCAAACCAGACCCTTCGGAAGTCTACCTGAAGTCTAAGACTATATATGAGGACAAACGTGAGTACATCAACTTCAACTTGGAAATATTCAATTACAAAGGATTTTTTTTCTTTTTCCTATGTGTGGTAAAACTACCATGGCTTTCGTGTTGAGTTTGTTAACCTCCAGTAGATGAAACATTTCAAGAAATGTGTAACTCATTTTTTTTTTAAAAAAAAAATACAATATGCTTCAGCCACATTTACAGTAAAACAGTTAATCATAGAAATGGTCTCAAGGACGATTGAGTTCTGAAGTAAACTAAAGCAGACCAGGCCATTCAGAGTTTATAGAAGGTAGCTCTGAGTTGTATCACGGACCGGGTTCTAACTTGTCCCACCGTACGACTGCAGCCGTGATTTCTCCTTTGGCATTTGGCAATCTATCCTTTCTTTTTCCAGTCTTTTCTTGAGAATTTATTTTTTCCATTTTGGAAAGGGAACATCACTGAAGATTTGACTGTTTGAATTATTTACTGTATCTCTGGTTACCGTGTTCTGTTAGTAAGAGTCAGAATTGCACCACAAAAGCATAATATTGCAATAATCCAAGATAGCTCCTTACGTGTTTTGACATGTTGCTTTGTCTTAGCTCCAAACACAAGAGAATTGGATGTTTTCCTGCGAAAACAAGAGTCAGGCTTTGGTTTCCGGGTGCTTGGAGGGGACGGACCAGATCAGCCCGTAAGTGAAACGATTTACAGTTGCCTACGTGTTATCTACAGCATTACTGTTAGAATGACGCCAACTGTCATCCTCATTTCCCTCTTCCTAAACACTTCAGTGATGGCAAAACGGATCAGTTCAGGACCTGCCTTCTAAAGAATTGATCCACATTACCTTTCTTTTTTTCCTCTTTGTGGCTGACTTCAATCTGCAAGGCTGCTGTGCCCTTCCCGCTCTCTAGGGTCTGTCGTTGGCAGCAGCTCTCTCTGTCCGGCTGGTAGTAGCGATGGTGTTCCTGCCGTTGTTGCTGTGGCTCAGGAGCACTCAGAAGGGCAGCGCTGGTGCTCAGCCTTTGCCCGTTTCCATCCGACCCCAATGGTGGTCTTGGCACAAAACGTGCCCTGGTAATGCTCAGTGTGCCGTGCGTGTGGGCGCATCCTGGGGAGCGGATGGGCGGGCAGAGGCCGCTGCTTACCCTACGAAAACCCCGTCAGGCCATTCTTTTGAACTCAGCCCTGTGAAACGAGGCAAGATTGGGGACTGTGTTGCACCCCTTTCCCCCCGCCTCTCCCACCACATTTTCAGAATGCATTTTGTTCGGCCAGTCAGTTTGGTTTCTGGGGGATTTGTCTCAAGAAGACAAGCGCAGCCTTTCCTGTGCACTCCTTCAGGCTTTTATTTGCCTCGTGTTTTTCCCTCTCATTTCAGAAAATACAAAATGCAGTGCTTGGGGATTTTCATGAAAGCCTTGAAGCAGAGCCTATTAAGACTGGCTTCCTTCTGCAATGGATGTTGGTGGTGTTTTACATTGTGACTGGCATCAAAATGTAGCTCTGATGCTTGCACAAGAGCAAGAACACTGGTTGGAGCCTGGTTTGCTTTAAGCTGGTCAGTGACTAGGGTTCAGTTATGATTTTCAGTCGTCGGTGTAGTTGTGTTCCCTGGCCTCCTGCGGAGCTGTTGCAGTTGGACCTGGATGACTCTGCTTGAGAGGTGATTGCCACGGAATGGCGGAGGTGGAGGCAGATGGCAAACGCCAGTGCAGAAACCCCTGGCAGTCTGTTCTGCTTTGGGAGACTCCCCTCTGTTTCCAGAAAGGCAAGATTTTTTCTCTGGGAAGAAGTGCTCAGACGCGTGCTGTACGTTGGGGCTGTTCCCTCAGCTGCCACATTCAGAGGAAAAGCTTTTGGAGTAGGTGCTCACAGATTGCTTTTTGATCACAGTTAAGGAAGACTTTTCCATTCAGAGCTGTGATCCAGTGCTAGGACTTTTTTTTTTTTTTTCCCCCCCCTAACACGCATTTAAAGAAAAGGAAGAGCAAAAGCAAACGACCTTCCTTCTGTTGCACTTCGTAGTGGTTGTGGTGTTTTGTTTGCATAGCAGCTGTAGCTGTCGGTAAGTGTCGAGCTAATGCCATGGATGCGGTGTGCCGATGACCTGCCCCCCGTTGCTTAACCTCCGACAATTACTGGCCGTCTTTATTCGTAATCTTCTGTTTAACCTGAATGTGATCCTAGCATACGAAACAGTGTGCGGTGTTCTCGTCTGTGTTCTGTTCGGTGGCGCTTCGTGAGGTGGGGGTAGACAACGTTGGTAAGGGGAGGGCAGCTATTTGAATTCATTATCTAATCTCCAAAAGCCGTGCACTGAAAAACCTTCACGCATGGAACTGTCTGCTTTTCAGCTGTAAATCTGGGTTCTTTGGAAATCTTTTGCTGCTTCCCCAGCCACTCTGGCCTGGTCTTGGTAAAAAAATAGAAGTGGAATAAATGACAGAGGCTTTCGTTTCGATGTCTGAGAAATCACATACATGTGATAAGTAGACAGTGTGTACTTACGTCAAAAGTTGGGCTCTTTAACAAACTGACAGATATGCTCAGGAGATGGAGATGCTTCCAGAATTCATGGAAATAAGAATTAAAAATCCGCCCAAACTTTGTGTATTTACTGAATGTTTTGAGCCCCCAGATTGTATCCACGGAGTCAGCTTCTGCGGAGCACGCTCACTGGCTGTGTTCCTGCTAGAGTTGGAGTCAGATGATCTCTAAAAGCATCTTCCCCAAAGCCCTCGTCTGTCTGGATTCACCTGGGTTCCAAGCATTACGTGTTCTGATGAGTTCATGTTCTGCCATTCAAACCCCCTGACTCTGCTCTGCTGACAGATTTATATCGGAGCCATAATCCCGTTGGGAGCAGCAGAAAAAGACGGCAGGCTTCGAGCTGCGGATGAGCTGATGTGTATCGATGGGGTCCCTGTCAAAGGGAAGTCGCACAAACAAGTTTTGGACTTAATGACCGGTGCCGCACGGAATGGTCAGGTGCTGCTCACAGTCCGGAGGAAGATCTTCTTTGGTGGTACGTGTCTGTCTGTCCGGAGGGAGTCCTGCGGGACACTGATCTGGCTAAAGGAGCACTTTGGGTTTTGTAATCAAGCAAACTAAAGTTGCTCTGAAACTTAGCAGTTACTGCACCAGAGCTGAGCAGCCTGAGATTCAGGTGGGGCAGTTACAATTCTGAGTAAATGGAGAAAAGCAGAATTTAATAAGCTGATGCTTTGGTCCTTGCTAGTTTGTGCTGCTTGTACGGGTCAGGCTCTGAAAATTGTGATGGCAGTGGTGTTCTCCTCAACCCTTCTGCAGGTATCAGTTAAAACAGCCACTGATGCCATGCAAATCGAGTAATAACACAATCTCTTTTCTGTCCAACGTGTTGTGTTCTCAAGTCTTCTGACATGGACATGTAGCAAGAATAGGTGCATTCAAACCAGAGATGGTTCAGGGCAGCATCTTGTGGTCTTGCAGTTTTAGACCAGTGTCCAGGTCGGCAGATTGTTGTCCTTGACCCTATGGTGCTGACCACGTGAATGGCAGAGCTGGGACGGGGTTCAGGAGAACTGATGACAGGTCCCCTGTTCCCGCTAGCAACCAGTATTGCTTGTCCACTGTGTTACTCAACCATTCTGAGTATACACAAGTCAAAGGAAAAAGCATTTTTAAGATGCCTTCTGAAAGATAGACTGCTCCAGGACCAAAACTGTGTTGGTTTCCTAAGGAAAGCCTGGCTTCAGTCTTCAAACTGCCTTATAAAAAGGGTTCCCTTGTTCCGAGTAAACAGTTGTTCCTCACTTAAGATAGCAATAGTTGTAGTTTGTAGCCGCATCTCCATTGCAGGTCTGGTAGCATGCAAAAAAGCTGCGATTTTTTTTTTTTTTTTTTTTTTTTTTTTTTTTTTTTTTTTTTTTTTTTTTTTTTTTTTTACTGTAAAAAGGCATCAGCTCCCTCTGACACAGCCTGTGTACGCGCTGCCGAGTCTGTTGGGCTGCGTGCGGCCAGCGTGCAGCAGGCTTTCCTTGCGTACTGCGCAGACCTGCGTAGGACGCCGGGCCTGTGCGCGCTCTGTCCTGCAGCTGATGGCTATTTGATCCAAACTGCAGCGTTAAGAAACTCGCCCCTGCTTTCCCAGGCAGACAGCATCGCCTCACGCTGGCACTGGCACGGGGCTGTGCGGTTGTGCTGTAGCTGCTTGGTAGAACAGCAGTATTGTTTTTTCCTTACTTGTTGCTTGTCTGTTACCTGCCAGGGGAGAAGCAACCGGAGGAGGAGGAGTCGCAGCCTGTCTTGACGCAAAACGGCTCCCCCCGACTGAACCGGGTAGAGCTTGCAAACCAGCAGTCCCCAGAGGTCTACGATGTCCGTCTGCAGAGGAAGGAGAACGAAGGATTTGGCTTCGTCATCCTCACCTCAAAGAACAAGCCTCCTCCTGGCGGTAAGTGCCATGTTCTGGCGGCGTTGTCACCGCCCGGTCTCGCTGCTTGTACCAAAGCTGCTGCTGGCGTTAGCAGGCGTGAGCAGGGCTGCGGCTTCTTCGGGGATTTCTCTTCCTTTGATGCGCTGGTGTTACCTTCACAGCACGCTGCGTAGACGCAGTCATCTTTCGCTCGCGCTGTTTGCAGCCCAGCCCAAGCCAGCTTGGTCTGTCTCGCTTCACGTTCACGCTGTTTTTCACCAGCTTTTGGGGCGCGGGGGCAAGGTCTGACACACAGAGCCGCCCCGTACAGGGCAGTCTGCAGGGTGTGGATAGCTGTCAGGCTGTGGTGGCGATGGAGATTCTCACACTGCGTTAATTCATAGGCATTTTAATGGAAGTATAGTTTCAACTTCGGCTTTAATATTACCTAATCAGGTGGCATTTCTTGCTTTGGGAAGCTGAGGAAGTAGAGGCTGCAGCACTTGGAAGAAGGCAATGAAGTTGTTACTGTCAGACAGATGGGGTGTTTGTCGGGGAAGATCATAAAAAAGAAAAAGTAGCCTGCGCTGGAATTCCATTTCTGATATACGGACATGGCTTCAGGCATAGCTGTGAAGATAAAGAACAAAATCACCAAGGTTAAAAGCAAAAATAAAAAGAAATCTTGTGAGCAGAAGTGAATGAGAGAAGCAGCTTGCAGGAAGCCCTGGAGTCCAACTCAATTAACGGAAAGATCCATGACCCCCTGCACGGGAGCTCGGTGCAGTCGAGTGCATTTGTGTTCCTCGGGCTGATGGCTGCTGCTTACCTGGCAGGGCTTGGCAGAGGCTACTGAATTTTTTTTGCATGGCTGGCAAGCAGGATCATCTTTCTGACACTCATCCCCTTCGGCCATCAGGTTTGGGTTGTCTGTGTCAGGCCTCCGTGCATTCACCCACAGACAAGCTCAGTCCTCTGGCATTGAGGTACAGAGAATTCCTGAAATCCTTACCCAGTCCCTTGAGTTCCTCAGTGTAAATCAGCCCTCTGAAGCTTCCTCAGCTGGTTCCAGACAGACAACGATGGCTGGAAAGCGTGTTTCTTTTTTATTGAGCCTCAGACGCTTCTGTTTTCCCACTTCATTTTACTGCACAATAAAAACCCAGCAGGAGCACAGAAAAAAACTTTCTAAATAACATTGTGCGGAATTAATATGATATATATTTAGAGTGTGATGCGGTCTTGGCTCAGACAACACCTTTCCAAGAACGTTAAAGCCAGCTGCCACGTCAGGGTGGCTGTGGGTTGACGGTGTGTTGTCTGGTCAGTCGGATATTGAGAAAAATATAAACATAATTATTCCATAATAGATTGGTATTCTGTTATAACACAGCTTTACTATAGACCACATTTTTGTCCAAGGATCTGCTGCAAACCCCTGCTTATTTGATATTAGAACTGAAAGTAGAAGGCAACCGAAGCCAATTCCAGTGCTGGAAACAGAAACCCTGTGGTCTGGGCTGTTCCTAACGCACAGGGAGAGGGAGGCGCGGGTGCACCCCAGGCTGTGCTGCGCGGAGCTGCCCTGGGCCCCACTTTCACATGAGCTACTGTGTTTTTCTAAAGCCGGGATATTTTAAAACAAGTAATCAGCAACTGAGGCTGCAGCCCTGCAGTGCTTTACTCTTCACAGTTGGCTCTTAGGTTTATATAATACTTAAAAAAAGCAGTCTATTAAGGGAAGTGTAATTAAAATTTAAACTCATGGTAGATGCTAGAAGGCATCGATGTCTGTTCCTTCGCAGTAACTTCTGCGTGTGCTGGCTCATTAAAACAATTCTCGATGGTTTTTTAATCTTGGGTGGCTGATGACACTGTGGAAGTGTTTCAGATGTTCTGTCATGGTTTTGAAAAGCCAGCTGACAACCCTGGCAGGCGCGTGATGTTCCTCACCGCTCCGGCCCCTCAGAGGAAAGCGTGTTTGGGAGCAGCGACTCAGAAAACAGGTATCCATCAGTCCCGTGTCCTGCGACAGCCTGCTTGCATCTCCAGAGCCTGAAGTACCAGGAAGAGCATTTATGAAACAGGCGGAGGTCAGTCTGGAGAGGTGCTTGGAAATGAGTTACAAGGAACGGTGCAGCGGTTCCTGCGCAGGGGAGCCCTGATGGGGGATTTGGGAACGCCAGGCGCCAGCTCGCTATGCTTTGGGGCATCCAGATGAACGAAAGGCTGGTTTAGAGGCGTGGGAAAGCACGCTGACCGATGGGCCTTGATGTAACGAGAACCTGCTCTGTCGGCCACGTCAGCACGCAGGCAGCTCAGGCAGCCGTTCTTTTGCCCCAGGTCTTGGTAGGCTCCTCCGACACTGTGGCACCTCCCTGGCTGCCGAGTGCCATCTTTGGGTCAGCAAACTGTAAAACGTGGTCCCTCCCTGTGCAGCGCACGAGCACCAGCACGCCCTCGGCAGGGAGGGACGGGAGTGTGGCCGTGCTCTCCTGTGGGAGAGGTGCCGGAGGAAGCGCCGTGCAGGAGTGGAGCATCCCTCCCTCCTTGTGCCTGTTTAGTTCAGCTCGTTCCTGCATCTGTGTTCACCTCTGGGAAGGTAACTAAAAGCAGCCTTTCTTCCTCCTCTTCCCTGTTCTGTCTTTCCTGGCCCCGTTGCCTTGGCCTCTAGAGGAGTCTGTATGCAGAGCAGGGCGTTGCTACGGGACGAACTGAGGAAACCAAGCCAGGATTGCTAGCTGAAATTCAGGCCAGCTATTGCAGGTGCACGTTCTTCTCGGCAAGCAGGGATGGGGAACGGGTCTGTGCTGGTCTGGGAGACCTCGCGGTGCTGCCTGGGTGAGCTGAGGGTGTGCTCTTCACCAGGTTGCTAAGTCAGGCTCTGGCAGGAGAAGTTTGATTTCCTTTTGAGTGTATTTAAGGCTTAATTTTTGGTTGCAAGGAGGAGGAGTTAACCTGTGCATACAGGTTCCTAATGCTGGGTTAAACTGGATGTCTGTGGCTGTCTCTGGGTCCACACAGTGCTGCAGGGTCTGTGCATGAAATGGGAAACAGTACGTCAGGGGTGGCCAGACACTGCTTCAGGGCGCTCCTGGGACACGTGGCCTTACTCAGCCCTTTGCAGGTGTCACCCGTTGCCTCCCCATGCTTTCCTTCAGGCACAACACCTCGTGTGTGACAGGGCCGTGCTGTCGGGTTGGCCTTCCCGTGCACTCCCAGTGCAGCTTGCTTCCTTATCCGAAGGCTTTTCTTGCGCTGGCAGCGCTGCCCCTTAGCGCAGAAGCAGCCTCCGGGATGACGGTGGCAACTCTGGGTCTGTGCGATGCTTGTCTGATGAGAATGTTAACGGTGTTGCTCTGCCTCTTCTTGATTTCCTAGTGATTCCTCACAAGATTGGGCGAGTTATAGATGGGAGCCCAGCTGACCAGTGCGGGAAGCTGAAGGTGGGAGACCGCATCTCGGCGGTGAACGGTCAGTCCATCGTTGAGCTCTCGCACGACAGCATCGTGCAGCTGATCAAGGACGCGGGCAATGTGGTGACTCTGACGGTCGTGGCGGAGGAAGGTAAGGAGGGCACGTGGCCCTGCCAGGCGGATGGGTCTTGCCACACTGCCAAAGTCTGATCTTTGTAACTTCCGAAGGGAATTCACTTCAAGAGGAGTATTTTAGGATGTTTGGAAATTAAAGAAAAGAGTGACGCTCATCCGTTTGCTCTGGAAGAGCTGGAGGCAGGTGGGGCAGAGAGAGGCAGCTGACGAGGTGGTTATATTGAAAAATAAGGTACAAGTGCAGCGTAAGAGAAATTCTCATGGTTTCTCACATGAGAGAGGGAGACTGCTGCTCCCACCACGAAAGCCTCGCTCAGGGCTTCCCTGCAGAGCCTCCCAGGCCGCTAGCGGGTGCACACGTGGCCGCCGCGTGCAGCGAGGCGAGCACTTGGGCTGCAAACTCCCATCTCTAGGGGCCGTATTTTCGATGGAAGCTCCCATGCAGCGCCGCGTTTAGCGTGGTATTGTTCCCACACAAACCGTTCACTATAAATATGTAAAACCCAATCATTTGAAGAGAAGAGCTGTTTTCCAACCCTGCTTACCACTGCGTTTTTCTGGATTGCTGCTTGTGGGTTTAATTAAACTCGCTATCGTTATTTTGCCAGAAAGTTGGCTTTCTTCGCCTTCTAAATAATAAACACCTAAAGCCAGACCGTGAGTAAAGCCAACAGATGATTCTCTAATTTCATATGCATTGCAAATATTTAACGCGCTGTCTCAGCCTGTAACACAGAATTTCAAAGACTTAATTCTCCTTTTTGTTAATGCTCACAGCAGAGAGACTTCTGTAAATTGTTATTTTTCTATTAAGATTTTCATTTTTCTCAAATCTAATTCATTCCAGTCTGAAGGGACACACCTCAGGCAGTTGCCCAGGGCAATGTTTATAACGCAGCTGAAGTAGTGAGTTGGTTGCATTGGATCTGTTTCTCCAGGGCTCTGAATCAGCTTTGTTTTCAAAATAAGCTTTCTGAGTACATCATTATCGTCCCTTATTTGTGCATGACCTTACCTGGACTCTGTGTAAGAGCTTTGCTTTTCCCCCTTCCTCAATTACAGATTTGGAGGCAAAATGAAGACCTAAGATAAAAACCTGAGCAGAATCAACAGAGAGAGGGGAAAAAATGTCAGTAGCGGTGCTAAAACTAGGCTGAAGAGAGCAGTCGTGCAAGACACGTGGCTTAGGGGGGCTGGAGTTGGCATGCTTCAGATGTAAAGAATTTGGGACAATGAAGGGGAAGCAGAAGCTCTTTCACAGAAATGGGAATCTGTCACCACCTAAAATTCTCCTTGATGTAGCTGGAGAAACAGAGTTCAGCTCGCAGCACAGCCCCCGTACGGCAGGCTCCTGCGGAAAGCCAGGGTGGGGGTGGGTTAGTGGGGGCTGCCGGCGTGTTCCCTGCTGGGCTGCGGGGAGAGAGGGGAGCCTCGCGGAGGGGGCTCACAGGATGGGGGTTAGTGGTGGGGTGGGGGGG